CCATGGGGGTGGCAGGCACCGAGCTGCCCGGCGGGAACGTCAGCGCTAACCAGAGCGCCGCTGACCCCACGCTGTCGCGGGATGTGTGGATGGTGGGCATGGGGATCCTGATGTCGGTGATCGTGCTGGCCATCGTCTTCGGCAACGTGCTGGTGATCACTGCCATCGCCCGCTTCCAGCGCCTGCAGACTGTCACCAACTTGTTCATCACCTCGCTGGCCTGCGCTGACCTGGTGATGGGGCTGGCCGTGGTGCCCTTCGGCGCCAGCCACATCATCATGGAGATGTGGAAGTTTGGGAACTTCTGGTGTGAGTTCTGGACCTCCCTGGACGTGCTCTGTGTCACGGCCAGCATTGAGACCCTCTGCGTCATTGCTGTGGACCGGTACTTTGCCATCACCTCCCCTTTCAAATACCAGAGCCTGCTGACCAAGAGCAAGGCACGCGTGGTCATCCTCGTGGTGTGGGTGGTCTCAGCCCTCACCTCCTTCTTGCCCATCCAAATGCACTGGTACCGGGCAGACCGCGTGGAGGCCATCCTATGCTACGAGAGGGACACGTGTTGCGACTTCTTCACCAACCAAGCCTATGCCATTGCCTCCTCCATCATCTCCTTCTACCTACCACTCGTGGTCATGGTATTCGTGTATGCCAGGGTCTTCCAGGTGGCCAAGAAGCAGTTGCAGAAGATAGACAGGAGCGAGGGGAGGTTTCACAACCAGAACAAGGAGCAGGAGCAGAAAGGGGGAGCTGGGCACCGCCGTTGCTCCAAGTTCTTTTTGAAGGAGCACAAGGCCCTCAAGACTCTGGGCATCATCATGGGCACCTTTACGCTGTGCTGGCTGCCCTTCTTCATCGTCAACATCGTGCACGTCATCCAGGACGACATCATACCCAAGTACGTGTACATCCTCTTGAACTGGCTGGGCTATATCAACTCTGCCTTCAACCCTTTGATCTACTGCCGGAGCCCGGACTTCAGGTACGCCTTCCAGGAGCTCCTGTGCCTCCGCAGGTCTGCCCTGAAGATGTATGCCAACGGCTACTCCAACAGCAACGGCAAGAGCGACTACAACGAGGAGGACAACGGCTACCCCCTGGCACCGGATAAAACCTGCGAGTTGCTCTGCGAAGAGGGCTCCTTCCCTCACCCCGAGGACTTTTTGCACTGCAAAGGTACTGTGCCTAGCGGGTAGCTGCAGGCGCGACGGGCTCTGGCGTGGCACACATCGGTTATAAAGATGAGCCTTTCTCTAAGGAAAAACAATCCCCCCAATAATAATAATAATAGTAATAATGATAATAATACTCTCTAGAGCGCACCTAAAACCTAACGGCTGCAAGAAACCCAAAGCTCAGCGAACCTGCA